GCATCATCTGTATTTTGAAACAGAAAGATATGGTATCTGTTCACCAAAAAAAAACAAAGAAAGAAAGATAAGGTATCTAGAGAGAATTGCTCAAATAGTTCTTTTTACTTCGTAATGGGAACCTAAGAGATTTTTAACGATTCAATTGACACAAATCTAATTTGCTTATCTAAAGGTTTAAACGGAGAAATAAGATTTTTATCAAAAAAACAAGAAACACAAAGGAGATGGTGGAAAAGAAAGACCGCCAATTGAAATTTTTGTCATATTGCAAATAAGTTACTGGAGAATATGTTGCCAATTTCTATGATATCAGCTAGGTAATTAGATTTTTTGTTATGAATCTCTCGTAAAAGAGGTACCTGAATCATGCCGGGATGATCTCTAGTCTTATTTCCTGGCCACGGTGTTCCATCTTGCATAGTCCATCCTTCTTCTGGTGTTTTCTGAGCCTTTGATACCAAAGCATTAACCCGCACATTGAACTCTTCATAGTCCCTCTGTGGCAGAAATGAAATGTATTTGTAAAAAGCTGCTCTAATGATGCATTTGGACGAGATACAACAGAGGGAAAGAGAAGTGAAGGTTTCATTGAAACATTTTCTTTGTTTGGAAGCCAATAAAGAGGAAGGTTAGAGTATGAAAAATTTTCCCACTAGTCTTCCTAGTTTCTCCATACTCCTCTCTCCTTCTATACTATAAGTTTCCTCTGCAACGAGGAGGGCTGTCATTTAACCATCTTTTCATCTTTTCCCTTCCTTCTCACCCTTTACATTTTCTATGGATTTTTTTCCTTGTTTTTTCCTCCCAACTCTAAGATGACAACACCAACAACAAGTTTTATCTCACTAGGTACAATTTCGCTGAACTCTCAACTTACGCTTAACTTCCCCAAGGTTGGATGGGGGGCTTTGAAGGAGAAACCACCCATTAAGTATTATATTGATAATTATTTTCAAAATTCCAAACCAATAGGTTGGTCCCTAATACATTTCATAGAATCTAGAAAACAAGCCACACTGTTTACGACTGGTGAATAATGCAACTTGATATATTATAAATTTTATATTTATATTGATTGTTATTTATTATTCTTTCCAATCTCTCCATATAACACCTAGGGATCCTAAGATACTTAAAAGTTATAAGGACACGTAGATCTAGATGCTTACTTTCATTGCTCTACGTTCTTTGACGAAAGAAGGCTGAATTTTATCCCTCAAGTAATCAATCTTCTGAGAGAAGTAAAACTCAGGAGCTTGTGGTTCAATTGAATACTTCTTGCAAAATGGCACCCATTTCCTTGCAAAATCAGCTGTCCCTACAAGAGATTCACATGTCAGCATTGCAGCACCATCGTCTGACACGTAACAGGGAACTTCATCTACAGGATAGTCCACAGCAAGAATAGAAAGAACTGTATTTGCAGTTATCAACGGTGGCTCTTTCAAGGGATCGACTGTACTGACAAAGAAGTCAACAGCGGCAAGCTCATTTGGTTCACCTTCTCTTTTAAACCTGCCATGTCATTGTAAAATTGAGAATAGTATCAACATGACATTTAAGTTAAATGATTAGACGAACATATATCAGTTTCACATGCCTCTTCATTTACCAGAAAATCAATTTTCCTTCGCTAGCACTATTGGCAAAAAGAGAGGAAATGACATAAGAGACTTTTGCATGATCTTGTAAAGGGAGGCATTTGCAGTGCGGATATGTTCAGTTCTATTAGAATTAATGTATGATTGTAATAAATCAGGGGTCGAAGGGAGAAAAAACTAAAGCAAACTAATTCTTCTGCAACATGATTTTGAAGTTAAAGAAAACTATCTTTATAACACAAGGCATTAATGGGCACTAATTTGACAACACTCTGCATTTTACCTGGCAAACAGCCTGTCAAGGTAGGTTTCCCTATTGAGGGGGCACCATTTAGGGAACTGATCCAACACCCAGAAATATGCAAACCAAATCTCACAGATGACAGATGTCAACCACAGAGGATGAGCACTATCAACAGGATTTGTAACTCTAATGGAAGAAAAGCCCCAGGATTATCAGTAACATAATGATCACAATTCTGTATGGCAAGATTTTGGTTCTTGAGACTGGAATAATTCTTGAAAGTGGCTCAGCACCCTCTGATAGCCTGCAAAATAAATCAGCATGTTAATTAGAATATGTGTGTGTGTGTGTGAATAATTTAAATCTGTTAGAGCAGAGCGAAAAAAAAATCATGAATACATGAAATTTACTAAACGTCCCATTCTTGTATATTTTGTTTTTCCATGTTCTTATTTCCTTATCTAGGTGGTTGTTAGTTAACATTGTCATCCTATGTTTTCTTATTTTACCGCTTGAGATTTGGCTAGCTGGCTGTATCTAAACAATGATACTATGATATAATTTGAAGTCGTCCTCTTCAGAGAAGTGGTTTCATTTCTCATTGAACTTACTGTATTTCTTCCATATGCTGCCGCTCTGGTGGTAATGGGGCCTCATTTTCTGCTCTAGGTTCCTCTTTTTTTTTTTTTCCTTTTTTTTTCTTGTTCTTTTTGTCCTTTGACTTCCAGCTCTCTACTCTATTTTTCCAGATTGGATTCCCAGATTCACCATTTGCTTCTGCAAGAGAAACAACTTTATAATGATAAGTGATTATACATAGAATGAATTGTACCAAGAAAAGTCTAGCATGTAGACCAACATCAACATCCTGCACATATCAAGGAAAGGTTGTAAACTGAATCATAAATATCTCAACAACAAAAAAAATAATATAAAGAAGAAGATGCCAGCTGTTTCTTTTTTCTTTAATCACAGTTAATCTCTTCAAAACAAGAGTTATTCACTTCGTTTTTTTTTCCCCACTAACTCGATCAATACAATAGGGAGAGAATGTACAGAAACAGAGAAATATTGACATATAAAAAAGATAAAAAAGGCGCACGCACAAAAAGATGGCTCCTCTGTTTCATCCTGTAATATATGTAGCATTTGTTTATATTATTGTAACTCCTATTGGAAAAGAAATATTGAAGTAAATTTCAACAAGTAACTCTACTTTTAAGTAGTAGGAAAGCACGGACAAATGTAGCAAGAAGATACAAATAATTTAAGAAAAAAGAAAAATTGGCTTATAGGAGGCAAACAGAGGTGCAATTTTTTTCAATGCTTCCCTCCCTTCATAAATTAGCCTTTCATGGATATCATAGTAATTACCAGGGGAAAACATAGAAAATAAGCAGGAAAAAAAATCATAGAGCTAACGAACCTGAAAATGATAACATGGATGACCGATTTATCGTTCTACATATTAACACTACCCTGCAATACGAAATCATAATATTAGTTAGCCTTTGAAAAAAGCAATTTTGAAGACAGGCACATTGGCATAAAGCACAGGATATAATCAATTGTGTATTTCCTTGGTCATTAACTATACACTTTTATAAACAATATTTGTTAGTGTGGGCATATCATACCTTTGCTGAGGATGGCAATTGTATTGTTTTGTTAAGGTCTCCTTTGCCTTTCCATTCCATCTTGTGCTCTTCTATTTTCACTTTGGACAACTTTGGTGTTTCCAACACTCCTTTACAAAGCATCTTCATTTCAAGGCATCCAGTTATTTCTATCTTTTCTAATTCTGGGAATCTGAAGGTGTGAATTTGTGAAGAAAATATCTTCAAGCTTGGCATGCCAGTAAGTTTGAGCTCACACAATCTATTGAATGTGATTCCACTTTCTACATCATCATTAGTCTCATTCATTACAATTTCCTCCATGTTTTTGCAATCATTTATCTCCAACCGTTCAAGACTCACTAAGCTTTTAGCAGTTGAACTTGTCACTAAATGAATGAGCTGATGACATCCAGATACACGTAGGCTTCTCAATTTTTCAAATGAAGCAGAGGATGGTGCCAACTTGACCAAATTACAACAACTTGTGACAAAGAGGACTCTTAGGTTTTGATGAATTGGTGGTAGCTGAGAATCATCCTTCCATATACTCTTGAGCTTATCCAAATAGGAAATGACTAATGCCTTAAATGGAGGAATTTTTCCCATAAAACCAATAATATGGTCCTGTAAAGGAAATATCTCCTCAAAGGAACTATGCTGCACACCAAGCCAATGCAATTTGGGAAATCTTTCAAGATAGCTATAGGGAAAGGTTGCTCCTTCATCCTGAAAGCTTTCTACATAAAGATTTGTTACTTTAGGAAAGATATCTATTATCGTTGTGATATTCCCTGCATTTAAGGCCATACTTATGGTTGTAGAAATTACCTATAAAATAAAAATTAACAAAAAAAATTACCATAATTAGTATGTGATATAGTAAATCAGATCAATTTCAGACTAATATGCATAATTTTCATCATTTTCCCCAAAAATACATCCATGCATTAAAATTAGGAAAAAATAAATTAATTTTATACCCGCTTTTTTACTCTAAATTAAATTGGGAAAAAAAACTATCATCTCCTCCGAATTCACATTTAGCTTTAGGCTTTTGAAAGTGAAAATTACATATAAAATGATTATTGATAAATTATTACTATAAGAAGGCTGTTTAATAATTTAGGTCAAGATATTTTTTAAAATAGTAATTTTCGTTTTTTTATTGTAGATAAAATCTTTCTTATCAATTGGTCAATTTTTTCTAATATTTGTATTTTTCATCATTGATTTGCTTCTAAAATCACATCCATATTTTAAAGTAAAAAAAAATCTTTGAATCATTTTTTAGCTCCCTTTCTTTCTAGTAAAAAAGGTACCAAACATTGCAACACTATTTGCAGTCTACCACATTCATTTATCAGCATTTGCGTGCAATTAGAGTCTTGTAACATGAAAAGTTTTTAATTTATGGGAGCCGACCGAACAACTTCAATATCTGTATTAAATAGTTACCTCATCCTAAATTTTGTAGACGGTGAGGAATTATTTAAAAAGTAGAAAATAAGAAAGTCAGAATGGTGGACATACCTCTGGAGTAATAAACCGATGTTGGATGGTATTGTTAAGATCGGTCATCCAAATATCTTTATGATGATCAAATCTGTCCCTATATACTTGAATGCTTTGAAGATGCGGGGCATGAATGTTACCTGGACAGAACATTGTGAGCCGAGGACAATCTGTTATAGTTAAACATTCTAATAATGGAAACCTAAAAGTATAACTGTGGCCACAGAATCTCTTCAATCCTTGTAAATATTCAAGTTCCAAAAGCTTCAGTTTGCTGAAAACGATTTCCTTGCCCTCATCATCCTCTCCTTCCTGTTTCATTACAATTTCTTCCATCTTATAGCAGTACCTTATCCTCAGTGTTTTAAGATTGATCAAGCTTTTTGCAGTTGAATTTGTCATTAAATGAATGAGCTGACGACATCCGGACACCTCCAGCACCGTCAAATTGGCAAGGCAGAGTTCCTTGAATGGTGGAATGTGATCAATACTGTGTGAATGTGATGGGAATATCTCCTCAAAGGAACTAAGATTCACATGAAGTTCGTTCAGCTTCAGAAATCTTCCAAGCAATGTATACGGAAATGTTACCCCTTTATCACGAAATTTTTCTATGCGAAGAATTTCCACGTGAGAAAAATGGTGCGCTGGAAATTGGTCATTCCTTATCATGCTAACATCATCCTCATATAACACCATCTCTCTTTTAGTGACCAATCTCTGTAAAACAATTATGCATAGGCACAGATATTATTCGATTATAATTACATAATTTGATATTTCGTACTAAGAAAAGTTTATAAATAATAATGCCCTACTTTTATATCACGTAACTTCATATTGAATCAGTAGCGTAGCCATAATAATTTATTTTTATTGACTCCCAAGTCAAATACGCCCACTAGCTAGAAGAAAGAAAACTATGAATAATTTTGTTGCCCATTGTCTTCCTAATCAAACAAGTGTCAAACATTTTGAGTTCATTAATTTTTAAAATTAATCTTGGAAAAGAAATAACGATATCAACTACGACAAAAAATTAAAGAACAATAATATTAAAGCATTCCGCTATGCATCCCATTAATTAATTATGATGAAATTGTTTGTGGTGTTTAATTTGTAATTAAAGTGATGTAATAAGATTATACTTAAAGTTTAGTAGAATCTTTAATTAAACCAAAATATGTACAGGGAGATTTATATTAAATATCATAAACATGGAAATTTATATATGAGTACTTTTGTAAAATCTGGAAATAGAAAGAACTAAGCACGCTAGACGCACCTGTTGGTGGATTGTTTTGTTAAGGTTGGTGTCCCAAATTTCATGACGCTTTCCCCCACCGTGTGACAACTGAATGCTTTGAAGAGATGGTGTATCAATGAGTCCTGGAGAGAATATTTCCAGTTTTGGACATCTTTCTATGATTAGAGTATCCAATAATGGAAACCTGAAAGTATAATTATGGCCGCAAAATCTCTTTAGTCTTGGTAGGTCACAAAGTTGCAAGTACTGCAATTTGTTGAAAAAGATTTCCTTATCCTCATCATCCTCTCCTTCGTGCTTCGATATGATTTCCCCTATTCGATCGCAGTGAGCAATTGAGAGATGCGTGAGATGGACCAAGCTTCGTGCAGTTGATGACGTCATCAAAGTGGTCAGCCCATAAGGACATGTCACTGTAAGATGTGTGAGATTTGGTAAAGAAACTAAGGATGGTTCCAAGCTTTTCATCTTGTAAAGATTCTGAAGAGTTAATTTTATTGGAAAGGGAACTTCGTCCCCTCCAAAAGCCTTCTTAATGTCACCACGCAACTCTAACTCCTCTAATTTTGGAAAGCTCATCAACAAAGATTTGTACGATATAGTTGTGGCTTTTTGTACAGATAGATCGAGCAGTTTTACTTTGGGGAAGTGGTATGTTGGAAAGTGGCCACTCCCTATCATCTCAGCTCCTTTACCATCCAATCTCAACTCCTCCAAATTACGAATATCCTGCACAATACATAAATAGTAGCTAACTGTACCAATTAATTAATACGTCAAAAGCCATATGCGATTTTTATGAGGGTATCTTCAAATTAAATTTGATGCATCCACAATGTTGACATATCAAATATCAATAATGATAAATTCAAACGAACATAAATTTTTAGTCTAGAACTTCCATCTTTGCAAGGTTGTGACACGCAAACATTACACCTCCCTTCTTTTTAAAAAAAAAAATATTAAATTAAAGCTTAGAATGTCTAGGGAAAAAAAAAGACAGAAACCCTGTCCCCTCCCTTGATTCAACAACAAACCTTTAAAAAGAATGGAAAATTATTTATAAAATCTATTGATTAAAATAATTGTTATGAATTATTCTTTTTTAGTTTTTTTAAAGGCAATCATCAAACCCTAAACTAAATTTTTGTGAATCACAATTTGATGCATCCATAATTTTGACAAACGTATATTTCATGAATTTCAATTCTTAATTATGATCAATTAAATAAATTTTTAGTTGGGAGTTTCAATATTTGATTATGACCCACAAACGCTATTCCTGCTTCTTTTTAAAAGAGAAATATTAAATTTAAGCATATAGTGTCTTTGGGGGGGGGGGGAACCTGTCCCCTTTCTTAATTGAACAACACACCTTTTTTGTGTGAGAAGTGGAAGCTGAGGATTGGAGTCATTCTTTTAAAAAGAAAGAACAGAAAATTATTTATAAAATCTATTAATTAAAATAATTATAATTAATTATTCTTTTTTATTTTTTAAAGCCAGTCATCAAACCCTAAATTGTATTATACTCTAATAAATATTTTAGTAATAATAGGAATAATTCACATATTTGAATGCTCAAAAATATCAAATTCAAATGCTTTTAGGTTGTTAAACAAAATAATTTGATGTTTCATTAGTTATTTTAATGCTTCAAGTTATGTTTGCTTTTGCATTAGCTTATTTTAAAATAAATAACACATTAATAGCTAATTGAGAAATGTACCTTGTCATGGGACAGTAGAAGATATTTTGAGTCTAATGTGCTCTTTTCCTCATGTATTTCTGGTGAACTTGAGACTTCCTTTTCAAATATCTCTATTTCATCACAATATCTAATAGATAATTGCCGAAGTTGTGGCCATTCTAATGTGTGTCTTTGTGGATAGAAGTTCTTCAAATTTTGAAGGAAAGAAAGCTCGAGGGAAGTCAGCCTAGGAAACTCAAATGTAGAAGTAACAGATTCTGAAACTTGATCTTTTGCGACAATTACCTCTATACCACAATCAGATATATGAAGCTGTTCAAGATCACGAAGCACACCTTTGACTATAGATGCAGGAAACATACTTGTGAGGCTTTCACAATCGTAAGCAGATACATTCCTTAGACTTGGGAAGGAGACATATCCCTGACAATGATTGCTCCACACATTCTTCAATTTTGGCAATCTATATAGCATTAACGTTTTCAATGGCACAACCTTCAGTGATGATGATATCTTCTCTTTATATTCATTCAAATCTTCAAAATCAAACACGATCTCCAACATGTGACAATCCTCGACTTTCAATGCTCCTAAATTGTTTAAAGACTTCAGCACATGAAGGGGCACCAATTTGATAAAAGCCACAATTTTTCACAATCAATGTTTTCAAATTGCTAAATGAGGTGTGTGAAAGTTGGTCATCCCATATCAATGGAATCAAACTGATTGAATTGGACAATTCCAAAATCTCTAATTTTGGAAGTAACACCTGTTGAAACAAAATATGATTAAACACAAATAACTTATAATTCGTAGGCTTACTTTTAATGAAAGATTGTTTAAATGTCTAAATAAAAATCTTATCTACCACAATATTTTTCAAGCGGGTGCTGAAAGTTCAACTCGAAATTTCACAGTCACAAAATACAAAATTAAGTAATTAAAAAAGTGAAAGAACTGCAAAATGCTATAGTAACTAGCCCAATACCAAAGTAAGTAATTCCAGTGAATGTAATTTTTGTAGATTTCATTTTTTTAAAAATTAGATCAAAATAAGAAAAACAATCCGGCAAACACACGAGCAAAGTAGCTAGTTCTAGCATGCCTGCCCAACAAGGTCGTTATTCAGAGCATCTAAAATGCTCATAATTACTATTTCAGTAACAGAAACAATTCATATTTAAAATACTCAAAAAATCAAGTTGACGTGTTTTTAGGATGTAAAACAAATAATTTGAGGCTTCATTATTTATTTTAATACTTGAAGTTAGCTTTTCTCTTCTATTAGCTGATTGCAAACTTCCATAATTGCCTAATAGAAAAGCAAGTAATTCAAGTCAAAATGATTTTTGCATATAATTTTGAAGTTTTGTAAGAAGATAAAATAATCTGAACATACCTGGTTGAGAAGTAACTTCGACATTTTATTAGATACGTTATTTTTTGCAGCTTCATGATGTGCCGAGTTCAAAACAATGTATCGAATAGTATCATTACTTTCAATCTGAAGATGCCTTAAATGTGGAAATGCTCTTCCATCATGACCACGAAGAACATTTTCAAGCCCATTAGATCCATAAAAATACAAATCTTCAGCTCCCCTCATTAACTTTCGAACCCCAGTGTTCAAATGGATGCTACTCTCAAGCTCAATTTTCAATATCTTTGAGCTTTCATAATTGCCTTGCCATTCCCAATGCTGTCCAATGAGTATTCTGTATCTCTTCAAATGCATATCTAAGAACAAGTTCTCCGGCAACATAGAGACATTAGGAATATGAACATCTAGTGAAGAGATCGGCAAATCCTTTAACTCTTCAAGACTTGCATTTTCAATAGCTTCACTAGATCCTTCAACTTTCCATCGATTAAAGCTATTTCCCATGTACAAAACTTCCAATTTTTTCAAGCTAGATAGGAGCTTTGGGGGAATCACTTTGAGTTCAGAGCAGTGGGCCAAATTCAGCATTTGTAAAGAAGTCAGTTGTGCCAATTCAGCTGGTAGTCGTTGAATTTCAGAGTAGGCAAGACTCAGGACTTTTAAATTCTTCAAGCTTCTAACCTCAGCTATATCTTCCAGTAAGCAAGAGTGTAGACACAATGTTTTTAGTTTTTGTAAGAAACTAAGTGATGGTAGTGATGAAAAATGCACATTGGTAAAAGCCAACACTTTCATCTCCCTTGAAGATTTGAACAACATGTTGGATATGGTCAAATCACGCTTTGTGCTGTCTAGTAGAAAAAATTCTAATCTTGGACCATGCAGCTCTTCTGGAAGCTCACTGATGTCACTCTCTTGTAAGCAAATTCCCTTGTAGCCTTCTAGCTTATTTTTGTCTGGCCATTCTTTCAAGCTTCTATGCCTCACAATGAAAACATTTAATTCATTGGAAGCAATTGATAATGCAACATCTCGAAAGACGTCATGTATTGTAACACGACGACCAGAAAAGCTATCAAGAAATAAGTTTAATGATTTTAGCTTACTTACAATAGCACATATTCCAACGTGGGCTTCTTCTATGTTTTCTATGCCTTCAAGAATATCTAATCCCAGAGAGTACATGAGCAGGTCATCAATTGAGGGATCATGGGACAACATGGCAGAGAGCAAGAACATAGTTTTATTCTCCAAGCTTAGAGGATCGTAGCTCAACTTCAAAGAAGAATCCACCTCTTTAATTCCTGTGTTGTTTCTCCTTAAATGATTTTTCCATCGTGCAAGGTAATCTTTCCACTCATCCAGATTTTTTCCCCTCAATGCCTTAGCAGCTGTAGCAATCGCTAGCGGCAAGCGTCCACACTTTTGAACAATCTCAGAGGCTATAGATATCAGCTCAAGATCGCTTGAATCAGCAGAAAGTTCAGCAATCCTCTTGAACAACTCCAATGCTTCATTCTCTAACAAAACACCTATTTTGATAAGTTTTTGACATTTCATGCGGTGTGACAGTAGCGTTTCATTCCTTGAAGTTAGTAAAATTTTGCAACCTCCGTCCTTTTTGCTATAATTTTCAACATCAACAAAGGGAATTCCAACGCTTCCCCAAATCAAGTTCCTCCCAAAGATCGTCCAATATGAGGAGCATATTCTTCTCTAGCTTTAACCTCTCACAGAGACGACAAGCTCTTACTTCTTCAGTCTTTTCATTGAGTTGCATACCCAGCTTCTCAGCAATCTGGCCTTGAATCTTCTCAACATTCAACTCATCAGAAATAGTCGCCATGATCACCTTTGAAAACATCTTTTGGCTCTTTGCTACCTCTTTAGCTATAGTGGTCTTGCCAACACCACCAGGCCCACACAATCCGATCATATTAACACTTGGATTCCGTAATTCCTCCATAATTCGATTCACAAGCTGCACTCTTGAACCAATTCCTTCATCGCTTTCTCTGTTGACTAATTCTGGCATGGACGGGGGAAGAACGCGATATGAAACTGTATTGAAATTTCCCTTTCTACAAATTTCAACAACTTCTTGTGCCATTGCCTTTGCTCTTTTGCTTAATTTATAGCGCAGCCACGGGTTGGGACATGAAGTTACGCTACACTCTGTTTTTGTTTGACTCTCTTCTTCATGAAACTTTTGAATTTGCTCTGAAATCTCATCTACTTTGCGCAACCAATGAAGAACCTTGTCTTCAATTTGTTCTGCATTGTTTGTAGCCTCATCTATTTGATGTTGTATGGAGCTTCTTTCATCGACGAGTTCCACAAGTCGTTCATTGAGCTGCTTAATGTTTCTATGATAGTGAAACAGATGATGAAACTGCTCGCAAGTTGGGTCCAGCACTAGGTCCCAGAACTTGTCAACAAAACTGCTCAATGTTCCGCCAGTAATATCCATTTAATTTGTGCTCTGTTAAAAAGATATAGCCAAAACTCAATTAATCTTGTGTTGTTCATGCAGAAGTATTTGTTCATGCAGAAAAAATACTCTAGACACTGACTGCAACTTATGCGTAAGTGATCGTACTTTTTACTTGGTGCTTCAGGTCGAAAAATTGGGCTAAAAAGTTGGAGGAATCAATCTTTTTTCTGATCTCAAAGTGTTGGGGAATGAAAATGAGAAATCCAAAAGTATAATCACTGGCTGCTCTTTTTTGCTAAAACTATATCTTTTGTAAAACAGCATTGCAATTTTAGGAAACCTATGAAATTATTGGCAAAAAAAAAAAAAATTGACAGAAGGTTATATGAAATTTTTTAAAATATTAAAATCTTTGTAAGCATTAAACCCCGGCTTTCGTTAGCCCAAAAAAATAAAAATAAAGCGCTTTTCCGTATCTCTTATCTTTCTCTCTCATTATCTTAATTATATTCTTTGTTTTTTTTTTTCAATTTATCTCTTGATCTTCTTTTCCCGTTTTCCGTTACCCCTCTTTTCTAATCTCTCGACTTCCCCTGGCATATCCTCAAGTTCTCATCTTCAAGATTTAAATTTTAAATTCTCGTTCTCATCTATTTCATAATTTCATCTACATGTTTCATCAGAATTTCATGAAATCCATTTTACGCTCTCAATTCATATAACATTTCAAGAATTTTGTTGAAACTGTTAAAAGAAATCCTGATTTAAGTACGAGATGATGTGTTTATAACTTGCAATTAATATATTGTTTTCTTAAGACCAATTCATTAAGTTAAGCGAACACGAAACAAACTTACGAAAGTATTTAAAGGAAAAATAAAATGTAATGACGTCCCATTTATTTTACATTTAATTAGAAAGAATTGTTTTTATTTTTAAACAATTTATAAACTTATAAAATTAAAATTTGTGCAAAACAAACCGTCTTTATATTTTTAAGATTATATTTTCGCACACCACAATATTAATTACACATTTTGGACCAAAATATTTCTCTTTAATGAAAACCATCGAATTTTTATGGAAATATTTTTAATGGTGTTAAAAATGGAACCAAGAAGTAAAATGATACTTTTTACGAAAAATTAATTATTTAGTCCTCATGTATATTTTTAGTCATTTTACTTTACATAATTTTTCATTTTGATCTTTTAACTTTAAAAAGTAAATTTCTAGTCCTCTAACATTAAAATTGGTAACAAAAAATAATGATATTGAGCTGTTAAATATTGATAAAATATTACTAAATATTAATATATTAAGTTTAATTTTTAAAACCACCATGAGTGTTAAAAATATCATCATTTAAAATTAACAATTTTAGGATTAAAGGACTAAAAATATACTTTTTAAGTTAAAGGACCAAAATGAAACCTTACATGAAGTTAAAGGATCAAATATATATACTTTGGCCTATATATATATTTAGAAGGAAAGCCTTATATATTTTTGGTTAGAAAGCCCATTATATTTTACTTAAACAAAGCACACAAGAGAGTATCTTCAACATGTAAACCTGAGGGAGCCACACCTATATTAAATGAGAACTTTGAAAAAAAAAATTCAAATATTCAAATGAGGGAGCCACACCTTAGGTAT